GCAATAATATCTTACAGAATTTATCCCTAAGTTGATAATCTCATAACCGTAAAAAGATTTATATTATCATTATTTAAAATCAAAATTTGAAACAACTTAAATATTTATCAGTGGCTAATAAATGAATACTTTCAGGCTTTAAGATGATGATATAGATTTATTTTGTTTATGAAATACTTGCATAGAAATTATATACTAGCACTATTCTAAGCTGTTTACAAATATTAGTTCATTTAATTCTCAGAACAACTTTATGTTTTATTTTTTTTTCCTTTTTCTTATGTTTTTGACTGCTTCTAAGCTGCATCAGAGCAACTTTATAAAGAAGGTATTATGGTTATTCCTATTTTGCAGAAGGGAAAACTGAGGTATAGAGAGATTAAGTCATTTGCCCAGGGTCACACAGCTAATTAGTGATGAGCTGGGACTTGAAGATAAGCAGTCTGAGTCAAGATTGTGCTTTTAATCACTAAGCTTTCCACAGCATGAAAAGATGGCTCTGTTGGGGAGCACAATGATGAGTAAAACCAGACATGGTCTCTGCTCCTGTGGAATTTCTAGTCTAATATTGGGGACTGAGGGAAGCATGTAAACATTCAAATTATCACTCTAATAAACTGAGAGAAGTGCTCTGAAAGAAGGGAATGTAGTTCTTTGTGAAATCTGACAGATTTTTGTCTGTTTCTCTCTGATAAGAAATAACAGCTGTAAAAAAAATGTCTAAAATGTTAACAGTGAGTATCTCTGTGTGGTGAGATGAATTTTACTTTCTTCTTTATATTTTTCTGTATTGTTTGAATTGTTTACAGTGACAATGTATCTTTTGTGTGCGTGTGAAAACAATATAGTCATTAAATAAATACTTTTAAAAATGAAGGAGAAAAGAAATTTTTGAATTCAGCAAATATTTTAACCATAATACTTGATAACTACACAAAAACTTACCCATTATGTTTTAAAATCAGTTGAATGGCCTTTTTTAAAATTCAAAGATATTATAGTCATGTAGGTACAAAATTTTTGCAAGTATTAATGACTTACAGTGGAATTCCCAGTCAGGATATTGTATTCTTGCCAATTTTCTTTGACTTTTGAACTGTTCATATTTAGAAAAGAAAATTAAGGGATTTATGGAAAAAAATTGCCATGCTTCTGTGCTATAATCTCTTATCTCCCTGATCTCTTGTAATCTTTTTTTTTTTTTTTTGAGACAAGAGTCTTACTCTGTTGCCCGAGCTAGAGTGCCGTGGCATCAGCCTAGCTCACAGCAACCTCAAACTCCTGGGCTCAAGCGATCCTCCTGCCTCAGCCTCCTGAGTAGCTGGGACTACAGGCATGTGCCACCGTGCCCAGCTAATTTTTTCTATATATTTTTAGTTGTCCAGCTAATTTCTTTCTATTTTTAGTAGAGACAGGGGTCTCACTCTTGCTTAGGCTGGTGTCGAACTCCTGAGCTCAAACGGTCCTTCTGCCTCGGCCTCCCAGAGTGCTAGGATTACAGGCATGATCCACTGTGCCCAGCCTTTAGTGACTACTTTGATATAGAAATATTTAATTTGTCTGTTTCAGTGGACCCTTTTGAAACGATGCTAAAGTCATTATTAAGGTATCAATCTGGTGGTGGTAGTGCGAGTGAAAACCACATGAGGAAAAAATTGTATGAAAATGGTGTGACTAATTCTCTGCAGAGTAATTTTGCTCTCCTGCTAAAGGTAAGGTGATAAACAGTTTTATCTGCTGTTCTACAATATATTATAGATAATGTATATTTTTGACTATTGGTGTATCTTATTTTTGCTACTCTTTTCTTACCTGTCTCTCTAAGCTAATTTTTAATCTTCTGAATATTCTATTTTTTCTCTATAAGCTTATTAGTTATGTATTTTATATAGAGAGAGCAGGGTTTTTGAGTGTTGGCAGTATTCAAACTTGGGCTGATGATTATTTGTCATGGAGGGCTGTCCTGTACATGGTAGGATATTTAGTGGCATCTGTGGCTTTTACATACTAGATGCCAGTATGTGCCCAGTTGTGATGACCAAAAATGTCTAGAGACATTTCTGAATGTCCCTTGGAGGGAAAATCACCCTAGTTGAGACCCTCTGCCCTAGAGATTACAGTAGGCATTCTTGACTTCTTATAACCTAATGTTAGTGATAACTTTTACCAGTTACTCAACAGTGCTAGACCTTACTAACTCCATTTTGTCCCTCACATTTCTAGTTTGATTTTGTAGAGTCAATATTCATTTGTTATTTATCTATATTCCATTCTGCTGTTCTTTATTTTCTAGCTCTTTCTTTCTTTCATAGCTCTTTACTGTCTGTACCTGTGTCTCAAGTTTCCCTCTGCCTTTCTTTTATATAAAGATAAAGGATTTAGAGCCTACCCTAAATCCAGGATGATCTCATCTTGAGATCCTTGACATCTACAAAAACTCTTTCCAATTGAGGTCACATTCACAAGTTCCAGAGATTAAGATATAGACATATTTGGGAGAACTACCATGACATACCTGAAGAACATACTTTATTACTTTTAGTTTAATTCTGCAGATGAATGATTTTCTCTGTTGTGTGATATAAGCTGTAGGTATTTTGTAGATGCCTATTATACTGAGATTTCTTTCTATTCCTAGTTTGCTGTGAATTTTAATCATGAGAAGGCATTTTATCAGTTGTTTTTCCTGCATATATTGAGAAAATTCTATGATTTTTATCCTTTATTCTGTTAATATAATGAATCATATTGGTTGATTTTTTTTAATTGAAATTCACATAACAAAAAACTAACCACTTTAAAGTGAACAACTCAGTGGTATGTTCATAATGTTGTGCAACCACCACCACTATCTTGTTCCAAAACATTTTCATCACCCCAAAAGGAAGCTCCATACCCAAGTTGCTCTCTTCCCCTATTTTCCTATTCCGTGGCAACCAACAATTTGCATTCTGTGTCTATGGATTTACCTATTCTGAATATTTCATATAAATGGAGTCATACAATATGTTGTCTTTTGTGACTGGTTTCTTTCACTTACAATGCCATTTTGAGGTTCATCCTTGTGGTTGCATGTATGAATACAGGAGTTCTCCCTTACCATCAGGATACATTCCAAGACCCCCAGTGGATGTCTAAAACCACAGATAGTACTGAACCCTAAATATATTGTTTTTTCCCATACATACACACCTGTGATGAAGTTTAATTTATAAATTAGGCACAGCAAGAGATTAATAACAATAATAAAATATAACAATTATATGTAATAAAAGTTATGTGAATGTGATGTCTCTCTTTCAAAATATCTTATTCTACTGAACTGTACTCACCTATTTTCTGACCTTGGTTAAACGTGGGAAACTGAAAGCACAGAAAGCAAAATCACGGATGAAGGGAGGGCTACTGTACTTCATTACTTTAAGAAAATGTTCAATTTTTTATTTTTTAAATTAAAAAAATTTATTGTGGTAAAATATACATAACTTAAAATTTGCCATTTTAACCATTTTAAGTGTATAATTCAGTGTTATTAATATTAATTACCTTGACATTATTGTACACAGCTGTCACCACTATCCATCTCTAAAACTTTTTTCATCATTCCAAACTAAAACTCTCTCTACTTTAAACAATAACTTCCTTCAATACCCAGCCCCTGGTAACCACTATTCTACTTTCTGTCTCTATGAATTTGACTATTCTCAGTACCTCATGTTAGTGGAATCATACAATATTTGTCTTTTTGTGTCTGGCTTATTTCACTTATTAATAGCATAATTTCTTCAGGGTTTATGTATGTTATAGCATGTTTCAGAATTTCATCCCTTTCCATTGTATAGATATATCATATTTTGTTCATCTGTTTATCCATCGATGGACATTTGGGATGTTTCTACATTTTCTATAGTGAATACTGCTGTTATGAACATGCATGTACATGTATTTGCTTGAGTGTCAGTTGTCAGTTCTTTTAGGTATATGTCTAGAAGTGGAATTGCTGAATCGTGTGATAATTCTATGTTTAACTTTTTGAGGAACTGCTACACTGTTTTCCACAGTGGCTGCACCATTTTACATTCCCGTTAGCAATGTATGATGGTTCCAATTTCTTCACATCCCTACCAACAACACTGATTGATTTTTGATTGTTGAATCATCCTTGCACTCCTGAGATCAGCCTCACTTGGTAGTGATATGCTATCATTTTTATATATTGCCAGATTTGATTTGTTTACATCTTGTTGAGGATTTTGGCATCTGTGTTGATAAGGAAAATTGGCCTATAATTTTCTTTTCTTGTAGTACTTCTGTCAGGTTTTGTTATCAGGGTTATGCTAACCTCATAAGATGAGAAAGAAAGCATTCCTCCCTTCTCTGTGTTTTGAAAGAGTTTGTGTAAGACTAGCATTATCCTTCCCTTTTACATTTTTTTAAACAATTTGATTGGGACATAATTGACATACAATAAACTACACATCATTGTTAAAGTATTTAACTTAAGTTTTAACCACCATGTTTAAATTTTGATCACAAAAATCAAGATGGTGAACACAGCTATCACCCCCAAAAGCTTCCACATGCCCCTTTACATTCCATTCCTCTGCCCCTCAACACCATTCACAAGTCCCCAGTGATCTGATTTCTGTCACCAGAGATTAGTTTGCATTTTCTAGGATTTTATGTAGGTGGAATCATATAGTATGTATTCTTTTTTGTCTGGCTCCTTTTACTAAGCATAATTATTTTGAGATTCATCCATATTGTTGCATGTATCAATAATTCACTCCTTTTATCACTAAGTAGTATTCTCTTACACGGATATACCACAGTTCATACATTTACCTGTGGATATAAATTTGGATTATTTACTGTTGGTCATTACAAATAAAACTGCTATGAATATTCATGTAAAAAATCTTTGTATGTACATCTTTCATTTTTCTTGGGTAAATACCTAGGACTAGAATGGTTAAGTCATATAGTAGGTGTTTATTTAACTTTTTAAGAATTGTCAAATTGTTTTTGAAAGTGGTTCCATTTTACATTCCTACCAGCAGTTTGTGAGAGTTCCCATTGTTTCACATCCTCACTAACGCTTGGTACGGTCAGTCTTTTTAATTTTAGTCATTCTAGTAGGTGGGTAGTATGTCTCATTGTGATTTTAATTTGTATTTCCCTATAACTAATGAGGCTGAACATCTTTTCATGTGCTAATTTCCTATCCATATATCTTCTTTAGTGAAATGTTAAATCTTTTGCCCTGATTTTATTGGATTGTTATTAATGAGTTGTAAGATTTCTTAAAATATTGTAGATGCCAGTCCTTTGTGAAATATATATTTTGCAGATATTTTCTCCAAGTCTGTGCTTGCTTTTTCATTTCTAGATAATGTCTTTTGAAGAGTACATGTTTTAAATTTTGATGAAATAATATTTATTGATGTTTTTTCATTAGTAGTTTGTGCTCTGTGTTAAAGTCAAAGATTTTCTCTTATGTTTTTCTCTAGAAGTTTTATACTTTTTTGCTCATACTTTTAGATCTATGATACTTTTCCAGTTAATTTTTATATGTGGTGTAAATTAGAGTTAAAACCCAGTTTTTTTAATATGGCTATTCAGTTGTTTAAAAAATGATCCTTTTCCATTGAATTTCCTTGGAACTTTTGTGAAAACTCTACTGGCCATATTTTTTGGGTCTATTTTTAGATCTTGTTCTTTTCCTTTAATCTCTTTGTCTATCATAATGTCAATACCATACTGTCTTGATTACTATAGCTGTATGATAAGTCTTGAAATCAGATAGAGTATTTCAACTTTATTCTTCCAATTAGTCTACTGATTCTTTCTTCTGCTTGTTCAAATCTACTGTTGAACCCCTCTAGTAAATTTTTCATTTTAGTTATTGTAGTTTTCAACTCCAGACTCTTTGTGTGGTTCTTTTTAAAATTTCTATCTTTTTATTGATATTTTTTATTTGTTTAGACATCATTCTCCTGCTTTCCTATAGCTCCTTTTTTTTTTTCTTTTTTAAGAGATGGGGACTAGCTCTGTCACTCACTCAAGCTGGAGTACAGTGGTGTGATCACAGTTCACTGCAACTTCGAACTCCTGGGCTCAAGTGATCGTCCTGCTTCAGCCTCTCAAGTGGCTGGGACTACAGGTACACACCACCACACCCAGCTAATTTTTTTATTTTTATGTTTTGTAGAGCCAGGGTCTTGCCATGTTTTCCAGGTTGATCTTGAACTTTGGGCCTCAAGCGATTCTCCTGTCTCGGCCTCCCAAAGTACTGGGAATACAGGTGTGAACCACTGCACCTGGCCTCCTTCAGTTCTTTGTCTATGGTTTACTTTAGCTCTTTGAGCATATTTAAGATAGTTGATTTAAAGTCTTTTTAGTGGCCAGGCATTGTGGCTCATGCCTATAATCCTAGCACTCTGGGAGGCCGAGTTGGGAGGATCATTTGGGCCCAGGAGTTCGAGACCAGCCTGAGCAAGAGCCATACCCCGTCTCTACTAAAAATAGAAAGAGATTAGCTGGACAACTAAAAATATATAGAAAATATTAGCTGGGCTTGGTGCCGCATGCCTGTAGTCCCAGCTACTCAGGAGGCTGAGGCAGGAGGATTGCTTAAGCCTAGGAGTTTGAGGTTGTTGTGAGGTAGGCTGACGCCACGGCATTCTAGCTCGGGCAACAGAGCAAGACTTTG